GTGGGAGTATCGACCTTTAGCGGTTTCCCAAAAGCAGTTGTCAATGTATAAAGGGTTTCATAATTGAAGAGATGCACCTTGAGCCCTGGAAAATAAACCGAAACCAAAATAATAGGAGATTCTAATTTATGATCAAAGTCCACTGTCCATTTCACAATTTTCATAAAGTAATTATCGATTTTGAGAACTTTTTGAGCAAAGAGTTGGGTATAATCTGCGTCATTTGAGAGTTGAATGAGAATGTGACGGCCATCTAGCGAACGAACTTTCCAACTCTCTATGAGCTTAAGAGAATCGAAATGTTTTCTAATAAGCTCAAGCTTGGGATTTCCATACGGAAATTTCCCAACAATAGTATATCTACATGTTGAGGCTATTATACTTGTTTCCTCATCAATGAGAAATAAAACGGGTTTGTCATTCTTTCTTCCCAGTTTAATAATAAAGGTATAATCACCTCCAGATTCATGTGCATCATGAAATTCTTGAGGGAAGAAACAGGAACGACCGCCTGCCCCAGGAGTAGAACCCCCAAAGACAGCTGCGGCATAACTTAGGGCCATTCCCCAAACCGAAACAAAAACCCCACGCGCGACACTGGAGCTGGAGCAACGACGAAGGGAACCCAAACCTCGAACAGAAACAGGGAAACAACCGCGGTCCGGCGAGCAGGAGCGAAGCCCTTCGTCGTCGGGAACGAAGATGGAAGGACGCGACAAAGCTCGTCGTCTGGCAGGAAGGAGACAACTCGCGAGTAGAACAAAGGCGAGAAGCCCTTCATTGTCGGGTACGACAAAGCCGAATGACATGAATCTTCATCGTCGGAGATGACGATGCCCGTGGAGGAAGCCGATAGTTTCAACGTAAGGAATCGCCATCGGGCAAATCCCTAGAGCAGCCCAACGCCATCGATATATATATATATATATATATTGATGAGTAATATAATATATTAACTAGAAAGAAAGATACATAATCAACTACAAGGCTACAAAGAATTATAATCAATTAAAAGTGTTAATTAAGAAAATAGAATAAAAAATTATTAAATTAGATTCAAATAATGTTTTAATATAAACAATAATTTTTAAATCTTGCACCAATCTTTAACATCTTATGACAATGTGATTAGGGTTGTCAAAATGATTCTTTGTTCGTGAACAGCTCGTGTTCGACTCGCTAAGCAAACGAGTCGAACACGAACACACTTTTTGAGCTCGAAATATAATCGAGCCGAACATGAGCTCGTGTTTGACTCGTTTACACCCCAACCTCAAATTAAATACCTAATTAGAAATTAGATAAATAGATAAGAACCAAATACAATAATCAAAATGAAGTGGGAACTAATGGAACCCCCCCCCCCCCCGCCCCCCCACCAGCTCCCCCACACGCGAAAGCACCCCCCCCCCCCCCGCCTCACGACTAATGTTACAGTGCGTGGGCATAAAAAGCTGTGGGAGTCTAGTTCCGTGAATCTATTGTATGGACCAAACCGTTCTAGGCCTGGGAGTGTCGGCCGCTCTCACATTGATTTAGCGTCTCCTTTCCATTGGGGGATCCAATCCTAAGTATTTAAAGCTTATTTATGTGATTCCTTTGTTTTTGACTTCAACTTTGGCATGTGTTTCTGTTCAGGACAGAGACCCGCTGCAGGTGTTCCCCTTCTAGGGTTGTATCTGAAGTCAAAAAGGTACTCCAGCTATAACTCGTTCAAGTTGGTGACCGACTCAAAGAGTTCAAGTGCTACTCCATGTGTAGCTCAATCTCGTGTGGATACTTATCCTTACCCAACTCCTCTGCAACCTTTCCAATCATCCCCATCGCTGAAGCAATGTCCGGAAAGATTTGAGTAGTGCTCCAACTGTAGCTCGATCTCGCGGGAGTATTTATCTTTAGCCAACTCTTCTGCAACCTTTCCAACCATCCTCCTTGCTGAAGCAATCCCCAAACAGCCCTCCCCTTTGTTGTCCCGCAGTTCACCGTCCTCCCCTTTCACCGCCACTCATTGTCCCAGCAACCGGCTTCGCTGCTTTCATTGTCCTTGACATCCACCTTAGCTGTCGCAGTCCACCATTCCTTACTTTTGTTGAATTACCCTTGTTTCGCCATCCGACAACACCACCATAGCCCTGCAAGCCATTTCCTTGCGGTCATATCGGTTTCCAGCCGTCCAACGATACTACTGCAGCCCCGCAACTCCTCTCCTTGCTGTCGTGAGCCTACCCGACCCTTCCAATGCCCTGCCACCACTTCCTTGTTGTAGCCACCTCACCATACCTTGTGGCCATCCACCTTCCTACCCAACCAAAGTCGTTCCTTACTACCGTCCAATCATTTCAACACTTCCTACAAGGTGTTCCTGAGTAAACTGCAACACCAACTCCTTCAACCTAAGACCTAGTTAAGTCATGTTGTGTCTTTGTTATATCCTAGTTCCAAGTGTTTGCTTGTAACCCTATTTGTTTTTTGAATAATAATATTTGTTTTACTTATTGTGGTTTGGATTAACTCCGGTATCACAAAAAAAGAAAACATGAAAAAAAATAATAATAAAAGGGAACTAGCATAGATTACAACGGTTTGGGAGTCCTGCGATCGGCTCCCTGATACTAGTGGATCGCGGTAATACGGGAAAGATTGCTCCCGCATCAAGAAGGGCTAAATTTTTCGAACTATTAGGCATTATAAAGGAACCATTGACCCAAACTGAAGAAAAAAGAGGTAGTGTTCAAAGTTTCCTTTATGATAAGACATGCTGATAATACTGGAAAGAGAAGATTTTAATATGTTTGAAGTATATCTGTAATACAAGAGTATCTTTAATCTGGATTGCATACTCACCAACTTGGCTTTGTTTGAACACAGAAACCAATATTGATGTATTATTTAACCTTTCGACTTTTGTTTGATGCACACATTAGACTCGATGCATGCATTCTGATTAAAAAAAGTATTTTTTTTCATACTTTGGATTTTTTTAAAACTAAATATATTTCTTATTTTCCAAGTTCCATTACGCGCTCAGTCCATATTTCTAAGCTCTTGTGTCGATATTGTCAGAATGTGCTCATGTAAATGGCCTAACTACTTAAAAGTATACTTAACGATTCATTTATTCCAACTCATTCTTGTAAGAGTTTCATTTGATATTTAATTTTAGTTTACAAATTCATTTAGAAAGCTTGTAATCATATTAGCACTCAACATCCTCATCCCCTACTAATGTTCTCACCACTGATTAGTCATACTAAATAATTGATAATGAAGACTACATAAGAATATTTTTTTCATTTACTTGGCATTTTCAAGGTCAGCAAGCCTCCAAAGACAGAAAATTAAGGAAAAGTAGTTTTTTGGCATTACCTTGGTCAACTGCAGCTGGTCTCCTTCAACAAATATTCCAACTACCTTAGCATCGATCAATTTTGGGGGTTTAAATTGAAGATCATTATATCAGCAAAAAAAAATTCTTGGCAAAGATGACCATTAAAATCCACGGTTTTGCAAAAATTTGTTGAGCCCAAATGAAAGCTATTAAGCTCCCTTTAACTTGCTTCCAAGAATCATTATCATCAGTAGCCTTATCCAAATATTTGGGGTCAACTTTATGAATCCTTATTTTCATTTATTTCCGTAAGGTGTTGCCCAAGTTGTTAAGCTTGCAAATCATTTTCAAGAACATTGATACATCTTACCTTAGGTCAATCACTTCTCATTCCTCATTATTCTCCACTACTTTATCTAGCCACCTAATAGGCTCTTTCTTGTTCTTACTTGTTAAGCGTCCAAACACCTAAAGTCTACTTACAGTTACTTAATTTCAATAGATATCACTCCAAATGACTCTTAGATATAATCATTTATTAATTTAGCCTTCCTAGTTAGTCCATAAATCCATCAAAGATTGTCATCATGTAACTAACAATGTGACTTACAAAGGTGTATTTTTGCCTTGAAACAGGAAGCACACCAAAGTGCATGCTCCAAATAATTGAAACATGCATAAGAGACATTAACAAGTATTACACTATATAAAAACCATCATGCAAATAAAAAGTTTGAAATGATTTATGGCGTTTAAAGTGGTATAATTAAAAAAAAAACAATCACCAACTATTGAGCTATAAGGCGCGCACACACAATCTGAAAGCAAGGCATGATATTAAGCTCTTGTTAAATCATTCTTCTTCTGGGATCAAAAAGGAGCAGTAGAGTGCACATGTTGAGCACTTTGCAAAGCAATGACAAGAATGCTTCACCACCTTGATCGTGCTTTATGATTTAAGCCCACTTTCTTTATACTCTCCGACCACGTTTGTGCTGATTAAAACTTTAAGAATAATTTATCAATGTAAATATTCTCATTTTTGCCACACTTAGCTAACAATGACACTTTTATTACCAACGCTCATATCCATAAAACATTTTTGGTCTATTTATAGTTTTATAATATCGCATATAAGTTTGGTAATATCATCTTATATAATTATACTCCTAACGCACCTATCTGTTTCAGCCATGCAATCATAACTCTAGAAGTTATATTCTCATCAATATACCCATTACTTTGTATGATAGATTCAAAATACATAAACATGTCACACATTGGTATCATTTTATCCTCTAGTATTCTTAATCAAAACTGCAATCTATCCTAAAAATCTAATGTAACTTGAAACAAAAATTAGCATCCCAAAACATTGCAAAAACAATACAAATATAGCAACATTAAAAATCAAACTATGACGTACATAACTGTTGAATACTTTTTATTTATAAGCCATGATGAACATTCAAATAATGTAGAAGATGTACATATAAAAATTCAACACACTGATACATGATTGATATAATTAACTATAATGATCGATAGTGTATCTAGCATTCAAAATTAATTGTTAACATAAATATTTTTATGTGAAAGTAGTCATTGTTGGCACAAAAAACATCTAGCAAAGGTCATACAAAAAAATCACGCAAAATAGCATTTGACATACCGCAACATCATCATAAATGCATATGCTGGACAAGCTTTTTCCCTCAAACACGATGCCACCTAAGGAAACAAAACGTTCTTTCATAATCTCCAATAATTTAGCTGGCCTGCACCCAAAGTTTAAAAATAAATGAAAAATAATCCCAACATAAGCAATGCAAGCAGTTTCAACTGCTGTAGAACACAACACACAAGCTTTAATTAGTAGCATAAACCTACTGAAATGAAGACTGAAAAATCAAACCATTCTTAAAGAAGTATATAAACAGCTCACATAATCTATAAGTGGCATGAGTGTCATTATCGTAACAAAGGGTGAAGCAACGACACATATAAATGTATAATGTTATTCTAATATATTGCTCATGTGCCTTACGAAAAATCATTTAAGCTCAAAGCACTATCACTCAAAATCTAGAAGTGCCTTTCAAAGCCAATAGCTAATACTAAGTTACAATTAACTTGGCATCTTCTATCGTCATATATTTCAATGGCAGTTTTGAAAATTTAATGATTTATTTAATAACAAATAAGAACATATAACTTTGCTTGGGTTATATTGATTAATTACCACGCTCACAACTGAGAACATTGATAGGTGGATGTGATTTAATTTCTTGAGATTTAGAATTCATTGTATATAAATTTGTTGAAGTGTTGTTGGACATATTTATTTGATGGATTCTTCATTCTCCATCGGTATTAAGGTGGATTATTGAAACCTAATAACAAGTCTACACTCGAAGACCAAGGACACCGCCCACCAACTATCCATTCCAAATGATGCTTATGAGGCTATGCTCCCAAACACCATCAACATAAAAAAATTGTCTTCTACATGTATCATCCCCTATAAGTAGATCAAATACAATACTTCTAACTCAACAAAGAAAGTAAAAGAAAATTTGTAAAGATGGCTCTCTAAACAAGAAATAACGTGAACAAGATAAAGATATAAATTGAACTAAAAAGTATCGGCAATTAAACTCACTCTCTCCACTTTTGGCTCAATCCCCACCTCCCTCCTCACCAGCTGCCCCTTTAGTTATGGCTCAACCCCATAATCAACCAAATCCTTCACCACAACTGATTATGGTGACACGTGTCTTCCACTTGACTCCTACCTAGAGAGCAATTGAGTCTAGTCCTATTGCTTGCACCCCCTGGTCATTTGCTAGGGTTATTGGGGATTTGAAACTTCAAAGAATTTAGCACCCTTCATCCAGCTAGTTGCTTTCGCTTTTCTAGCAAGATTTAGATCCACCTTAACATAAGTAGCCATTAACTTTTCATGGCAAATCTGCCCTTTAAAGCCAATTTTAAGCTAGCATGTAAGCTCTCTTTTCTATTATGAGTAAATATTTTATGGGACGCTCCAATTTAGAGATTATTCAAAAATTTATGTCAAACTTAAACTTGGTTGGCTACTTCTCCGTCGGTTTATTGACCATTTCATATTATTATCATAAGATTACCTTTAAAAGTATATTACACTGCAAACTTTTTGTGGTGGTATGAGAGGCCGTGGCTTAAGGACAATTTAGTGTTTTATTCATTATTGTTTAGCATAAATAGAACTAATATGTTTAGGATTAGGTTTATGCTACAAGATTGTTGTCTTGAGTCTTATAATTAGGATTTTGGAGAGAACAAATACCTCTCAAGTTGTAGGTGTTAGGGCTAATGTTTGGAAGAGATCGCCTACCTCTCGATATGTAGGTGTTTATCTTTTATGTATTTGAGTTGTTGATATCAAAGTTAAGTTAACCCAGATGATGATGAAATGCAACTTTTATTGCTGAAAATCAAATAGGGATTAGAATAAAAAACACTCAAAATTAGGAAATAGCAAAAACACGACACAAACTCAACTATGGCTAAGGTAGAGGGTGTTGGTGTTGCGGTTTAGGAAGGAAAAACACGCATGGAAGTCGTGAAATGGTCGGAAGGTAGCAAGAGACGGTTGTGGTTTGATGTGTAATGGAATGGAGGTGGGCGACAATAGCGTATGGTGGGATGGTTGCAACTAAGAGGTGGTGTCAGGGTGTTGGAAGGGGTTGGGTAAGCTGTAGGTAGAGATAGGGAGCCAACTGAGAGTAGCCGACTACAAGGAGGGAAAAGGGGAGGTTGCGACTGTGAGTGAGGGGCCGACTACAAGTAGGAGGGAAAAGGGGAGGTTGCGACTGTGAGTGAGGCTGGCAGGCTGAGAGTAGCCAGCTATAGGTAGGAGGGGAAAAAGGGAGAAAACGAGGAGATAACCACCACCTTGCGCAGGATACAGTCGGGGCACCACTGGTCCTCAGTTACAACACTAACAAGGGAGAAAGACACTGATGGTAGCGGGGCACCACTGGTCCTCAGATACAACACTAACAAGGGAGAAAGACACTGATGGTAGAAAAACTGATGCAAAAAACTAAATCCTTTTTCTAAAGAAAAAAAAACTAAATCCTAATCAAAGAAAATAGTAGGGAAGCCCCTCCTTTTGGGCGGCAACCCTAACCCAATAGAAAGGGTCAATCAACCCTTGAACCAACCCTATTGAACTTGTTCGGCATCCCTAGACGGTTTAGCCAAAGATGAGTGCCGGGTCAACCTCCAAGGGTTGGAGGAGCTTTGAGCTCATTCATCGAAGCTTTTAGTTGCTCATAGCATGGAGTCAAATCTATTACATTGAAAGTAGCAAAAATATTGTAGTCCCCTAATATATTGATCTTGTAAGCGTTGTCATTTAGCCTCTTGAAAATCTTGAAAGTTCCATTTGCCCCGAGTCTGAGCTTCCCGAAGGATGATCCACACTAGATCCCTTTCTTGGAAAGTCACCTTCTACCTAGTTTTATTTGCCTGTATGGTATTTGCAATTCTATTTAGTGATCTCCTTTCCCAGCTCTCTGTGTAACTTCTGAATCTCTTGCACCCTCTCCTTAGTATCCTCACTAATCTCTGATGTTGGAAGGAGTGATACCAAGTCAAGTAAAGTGAATTTCACGTGGTCTGATTCATAGACTTCATGTAAGATAATTTAACTTGAGCTAGGATCAGGTCCCATTGCTTAATATTCTTCCCCGCAAAGCACCTCAAAAGGTTCCTCAAGCTCTTGTTCAACACCTCTATCTGACCTTTTTCTGTGGCTAAGCTACTGAGCTGGATTGAAGCTTAGTGTCAAGCTTCCCCCGTAAGATTCTCCAAATATGACTCAAAAACTGGACATTTCAGTCAAAAGTAATAGTCCCGAGTATCCTGTTTAGTCCTCCTTGAGTACAAATCAACTACATGTGATGCATCCAATGTCCGGCGGCAAGGTACGAATGAGTCATTTTTTAGAATCTATCCACCACAACCATCACAAAATCCATGTTATGTTGTGTCTTTAGAAGACCCAATACAAATCTATGTTAACATCCACCACGGGGCTTCCGATACTGGGAATGGAGTGTATAGTCTTACATTTTTTCATCTGGTTTTGGCCACATGACAAGTTCTGTATTACTTGATCTCTCGTGAGTCGAGGCCAAAAAAAGTGTTCTCACATAAATGCGAGTCTTGTCTCTGCCATAGTATCCTGCAAGTCCTTCGTTGTGACAACCTATTTTGGTGGAACATATAGCCATCAGCCTTGTGATACTGCTTAGGAGGCTTTTCTTGCCATTGCATCAAGATCTCCCTGAAATCTTTATCCGTCTAGTAAAACTCCTTCACTCGATCGAATCCTACGACTCGAGTCAACAAAGATGTGATCAGCAAAAGATGGCGGTTCAATAAATCTACTACTCGATTCTAGCTTCACGCCTTGTGGTTAACAACAATCTAGAACAAAACCAAAAACTCCAACCAAGCAGCATGTCATCCTTTCAAGTCGTTCTAGATATTCAAGAACCTCAAAGTCTCATGGTCCATAAAAAAAAGTGAGCTTGTTTGTCAACAGATAGTGACTTCAGTGATTAAGAGTTCTCACAATCGCAAAGAACTCTATAGTACGTCGAATACTTTCTCCTGGACTCATTCAACTTCTCATTGAAGAATACTATGGGGTGGCTTCCCTGGCTCAGTATTGCTCTGATCCCCACTATTGAGGAGTCACACACCACCTCGAACAACTAACTGACGTCCGATAATGTCAATACTGGTGCCTGAGTTACCTTCTCCTTCAGAGTATGGAAACTGGACCAAGCTGTCTCCATCCACCAGAACTTCCTTTTCAAAAATTCTATCAAGGGAGTCGTGATGTTGCTGAAGCTCCTCACAAATCTTCTATAAAATGATGTCATCCCTAAAAACAATCTCAACTTGGTAAAGGACTGTGGGGGTGTCAGCCTTATGATAGCCTCGATCTTTTTGCAAGATTCATCTGATTTTCCACTCGTATAATCTATCCCGATCTTAAAAATTGTCTTCCACTCCTCCCTTCGTCTCATCCTGATCTGGTGACATCCTTTGTGTAAGTTGATCTTGGAAAAGATAATGGCTCCATGTAACTGATCCAACAGGTCATCCAAGCGAGGTACAGAGAACATGTATTTGATGTTGATCTTGTTGATAGCTCGACTATCAACACATATTCTCCATGATTAATCCTTTTTAGGCACCATCAAGGTAGGGACACCACGTGGGCTATTACTCTCTCTCTCACCAAGCCTCTCATAACGAGATCCTGTACTTATTAATGTAATTTTTCATATTTTGCACGTCTCAATCTGTAGGCAAGCCTTTTTGACAACACAAATCTAGGTACGAGATCTATGGCAAGTTGAATGCCCTTCAAAAGTGGTACCCCTCCGAAAGGTTGTAAGTCATCACATCCTGAAAGTCAACCAGTAGTAATTGTATAGACTCCAATAACTCAATCTCCTCTCAATTCCCTCTAACAGAACTAAAGTCATTGCCACTGGAGCCTCTCGTACTGACTACATAAAAGTGGTTCATGAAATTGCCGTTTCATTGATGGTATCTACTCCTCTCAAGTCTCTGACAGGAAAAAGAAATATGTGTTTTCCATCCTTCTTGAATGAATAAGTGTTCTCGAACCTATCGTGATGGGTCTTGTAGTCGAACTGCCACGGCTTCCCAACAAAATATGGAAAGTGTCCATGGGTCCCACATCACACCA